TAGGTCAACATAATTCTGTAATTCAAGGATATTAGTGATATCCTTATTCAGGCCTTCTAAAAACTGAGCCATGGTGGCTTATGGACATTCTTTAATCCTAGCTCAAATTACGATTATTTCCATCTCTTTATGATACTCTTCCACTGTCGTAGAACCTTGAGTCAAGTGTTATAACTTTAGGTTCATGTCCCTATCAAAATAGGCTGGTACAAAATGCTTCCTCATGATGGATCTTAATTTCTCTAAGTGGTGATTGGTACATCTCCATTCCGTTCTCTGAGAGCAACTAACTGATCCCACCAGAGTGAGACATATTCAATATATTGGCAATTTAAGATGCAATCGACCTCTCGTTCCCATTCAAGGTAAACCTTGGGGTTTTTTCCCTTAAAAAGCTGGTACCTCCAATTTAAAATCATAGAGATCCCCATCCACCTCTTCTCGGCGGCCTCCTTATTGATCACTAGCATCATTGGCACAAGACCTTGTTCCATCCTACACTATGTGGCATCAGGCACGCTGCGATGGCCTCCCTATTCTAGATGATCTATTTGCGTAGTTATGTTTCCCATTTAGACACTGAATTGGGTAAACATGTCTATGATCCTTTCCTACATAGTGATAGGTCTACTATTGGCACTTTGGGGAGATATAGTGAAGTTCATGTAAAGATAAAGGTTAGTGAAAACAAATAAACTTTCTCTCAACTTCACTCGTGTTTATCTCACAATCTCTTAAACTATACCTTTTTATGTCGAGTTGAACGTTTGAAATCAGATTCGCTTAGATCAAGATCTGCACGTCAATCTTTCTAACACAACAAAGAATCCTAAGGGAATATGATTTCTACATAAGCTCAAAAATAAACACATAAAAGAAGTGGTGTGCTTTTATTTATACACTAAGCAATTAAAAACGATTAGTCACTTAGATGTGTAATGGAATAAAAACACAATGAAATAATGAAAATATAGATCACAAATAAAATAAGATGGACTTAAAGCATAGTGATCCAATCAATCTCGATGGATATAACCGGAAGGTGTATTCTAATTATACTACCTAATGACAGCTACTCTCTATGAATGATCATGTGTCTTCATGCAATGTTAGCCAAAATTTCGGGATGCAAAACAAAAATTAAACATGAAGTAGAAAGGTTTTCGCTCATAGTGGGTGAGTTAATCTTTCTTTTGCTTTATGCAACAGAATGAAAACCAAAAGTTTTCATGCACACCTGGTTAGTGATTTATTCTTCCTTTGACTCTTTAAAAATTTTCTATCATTCAACAAGCCAGTTACTCTCCTTTTGAATGCTCAGGTGCAAACATCATACCAATTGCTTTATGTTATGCAATTGGGATATTTTTGAGTTTTTTTTGGTATTTTTTTACCATTGATAGAAATATAACCACTTGAATTAAATGAATAATTATGAATTTAAGTGGGATGCAAAATGAATTAATAATCAAAACAAATTTGAATGTTAATTAATTAAGAATGCAAAAGTAATAAAAGGATAATAGGTTTATTGGGAGCCTAAACTTTGATAACAGATGATGTGGCCCACACCATGTTTTATGTCTAAAAGACACGGGAGGATACGGGGAGGATTGTTTGACTCTCGGAACCTCAACTAAATATGCAATCAGAGGCTTAACCACCTAAATAAAACCTTCCTACTTGAATCTACACTCAACTATATGGAATGCAAAATCAAGAAATAGGGAGATTAAAACGAGGAAAAGAACGACACTATAGCTTACTTAATAAGTCGATCCCAACTCTTCGGCTCAACAAGACTTTAGAAAGTCCCTAACTTCGAAGAACTTAAAGAAGCTAGAAATTAACCAAAGCTATCTTGAAGAAAGTTCAATGCTTTGATTTTATTAATCCCAAAAGTTATGTTTATAAAATAATAGCTTAAGCCTTTGTATGCATTTTTACTTTTCGATTTCTAGTTGGAATAGGATTTAGAATTTCTATCCAAATTATAGGACCTAATTTAATTAGAAAATAAATATATAATGTAACACCCAATTTTCGTAAATGAAACCCGAAATAATTTCATGCTTCGAAAATTTAATTATCATGTTTGCATGTTTTTAAAAAAATTAAAAATAAAAAAATAAAAAATTAAGACCCTAAAATTATATATATATATATATATATAATGAATGAAAAAAAAAATGAGTGAGTGAAATTTGAAATCCAAAAAAAATAAAAAGAGAATAGTAATAATTAAATTTGAAAACAAAATTAAAATTTTAGGGCCTTAAAATAATAAAATAAAAATTTAAAATTCATGAAAAACATGGATAATAAATAAAATAAATAACTTAGGACCTTTTTGAAGTAGAATTCCAGAGTTAGGGCCATTTTATAATTAAAATGAGTCTAATCGAAATAATTTAAAGTAATCAGGGGTCACTCCATAATTTTTTATAAACAGGTCACGTCACCTGTTGACTTGGCAACACGACTTATCTAGTCGCACTGCATGGCAGCCGTGTTAGCATGACATTCCACACGAATTCGACATGCTAGAGATCTGCGTGTTGGATGATCGAACAACCTGCATGTTCTAGTGAAGATTGGATTGCTGAGGATCTTTCCTTCCTTTGGATGCGATCCAATGGCTCCTAAGCGTGAAAAGGATGATGATTATGATCTTGCGGCTGGCAAACAAGATGCCGATCAAACGGCTGAGGTGTGTGTTGACTGATTGTACGGTCTGAATGCGATCTATGACGCAACAACTGTGATTGATCTTGAAGTGATCTGATGGCTAAAGATTTCAATAGTCCAGTTAGGCAGGAGTTTGAACAATGGTGAGGATTCTTTAGGCCCGGCAAAAACAATTTACCCTTAACGAAGGGTGATATAACAGTCCATGAGTGACTAGATCAAATCTAGTCCAACAGCTAGAAATTATTTGGGGGTGGGTATTTAAGGGCTCTCTTCTGTCAATACTTAACCCTAGCTGCTAGAAGAGAAATGAAAGGGTCAGAGAGAGTTGCCGAAAATAGGAAACAAGCAACGGAACTTGGCAGACGTGTTAGAGAACCAAACCGACGTCGGTAAACGTGTTTTCTCTTCCTTTATCTGTTGTTTCTCTTTTGTTTTCTTAAGTATAAGTACATTATTTCATTTTTATTAGGAAACGTAGAACCCGAGAACCCCACCAGTCCTCTAAATGCCTATCACGTCTTGATCTTCTCTTTTTTTTAGTAAGTCTTCCATCTGCCTACATAAATTCCATTACCATTATCATAGATCATGAAATACTTACGTGTGTGCTTGCAGATGGAGAAGTGCCAGACTTCATCGCCATGAACCCAAGGCATTTTTGGCCCTACACTTGGGTAAGAATGCTATAGTTCTTAATCCATGGATTTCATTTTTTCTCAAAATATTTAAACGCCTTAGTTCAAATTTCGTTTCCTGCAATCCATGTTTTTGAGATCTAGAGTTTTGGGATGCAAATTGGATTTGAAAAATTAAATTGGCTTACAGTGTTGACTTAAACTTAGATTTGTTAGATGTTTAGAATTAAAGACAATTTATGTTTTCATTAGTTTTCTAGAGTCTTTGGTGTATGTAGATATGTTCAGATTTACTTGAGATCTTGTAAAACGGTCGAGCAAAATATGATAATTAAATGATGGAGAAATCAACTATTGAACCAAAGAAAATAATATGGAAGATTAATAAATACAAATGATATAAAAAAATTAAAAATTAAAAATAAAAATTTGAATTAGTAAATTTAAAGGAAATAAAAGAATTAAGATTAAAATTGATTTAATATATATATATATATGCTTGATATGTAAATATATGTATATATATAATATATTATAAGTGCAAAAAAAATATTAAACAGACTATATATATATATATAAGTATATGAAGATCTTTAATTTAAGATGTAGATTGTGCGTATTAGGAAAATTTATATAACATTATGTGTATATATAAATATATGGAGCAGAATAAATAAATTAAAATTGAAATGGAAAATTTAATAAATGGTAATAATTATGAGAATTGAATTTGTTTGAATACATAATTAATGAGAATTAGATTTGTAACACCCAATTATTTTTATATAAATATAAATATGTATTAATTAAATTAAATTAAATTTAACTTGGTAAAAAAAATAATTGAGGATTTAATTGAAAACAATTTTGGAGAAAATGTGTGAAAGTTTAGGTTCTGAGGTTATTTTTGAAAGAAAAATCAGAAAAACGGAAAATGTGTGAAAGTTTAGGATCAAAATGTAATTTAAAAAAGTTACACCACGTTAGCTGCCCGGTCAGCAGTCTCGACAAATCAGGACGTGCCAGGTGGCAGAGACGCAGACGCGGGAGGCCACGCGGGGGGAGCTACGTGGGCGATCCGCGTGCACGCGATTGAATGGCTGAGATCCGTTCCCGCGCGCATGGACGGCCCAGATTGCATCGCGCACGGACAGTCCAGATTGAATCACACACGGACGATTTAGATTGAATCGCGATGAACGGTCCAGATTCACTTCCTATTTAATCGCGATCGGACAGTACAGATTAAAAGCTATGGACGGCCTAGATAAAAAACAGATGGGTATAAATAACCCCATCCGCACCCAAACCCTAACCCTAGCCGTCAGAGCCCCTCGCCGGAGAAGATAGCCCAGCCGCCGGAGAGCCGACCGCCGCCACCTGCCGCCGCACCAAAGCAATTTTTTACCGCCAAATGAGGTAAAAATTCTATTCTTTGCTCAGAATTTGATTTCAAACTCATCCATGGCCAAATCAGAGTGAAAGAACCGGCCAATTGGCTGAAAAACACCGTTGAAGCTCAGTGGCGCCACCGCGGGGTGTTTCGATTTTTGCCTCCGATGAGGCCCTTTCTGATTCCTGTTCGATGTGATTTTTCCACTGTTGTGATCACCGTTTCCTCATCTACAGGTTGACCGGAGCAAAACACCCAATCGCAACGTGAGCCGGAGGAGCCACCGCACCGGAGAGCCCCACCGCCGGTAAGTTTCAGTTTTCTGTATTTTTTTGGTCCACCGAGGGCCTTAAGTGTGTTTTCTCACAGAAACCAGTGTAAGTTTGGTTGAATTCGGCTGAAAACAGTCAACCTAAGGCAGATTGCCGCTGCGGGCGACAGCGCCGTCGCCAGAGTATGGTGGAGCCGCCGTGCCGGAATTTTGAAATTGGCCAAGTGGGCCCTGGATCTGATTTTTGGGTTTATTTGGAACACTTATAGGTATCGTAAGGGCGTTTCAGTTCCTGAAGAAAAATTCAGGGAACCTAGGGACCGTCCGTAGGCGCAGTAACCATCTAATTTTCGACGTCAAATAAAGTAAGGATCTCTCACCCTATTTTCTATCATGGAATTGAAGTTTGAATAAATGATAATACTGTATTTTGTACAAATTAAATAGATATGCATAATTAATTACGATTGCTAATGGAGTCCGAACCGGACATTATTCTCTGTTGATTCCTGTTTGATTTATCTTACAGTTTAGATACATTATGGTATTCAGTTTATCTATTCTATGGTTTTAAACGTATGTATCACTGCTTACTTCACTACTGTTTAATTTTGGGAATCAAAGATATGATTGCATTGTTGGATGCATGTTACTTGTTTATGTATTTATGTTTAATTTTGTGATGGAGACTAATGATAAATAGGAACGGGATGTGATATGATAAATGAATAAGATGACAGCCTCACTAGATATCCTAGGAGATGGTGGACGGACCGAGTTCATAAGGAACCCTACCGTAAACATTGTCTCATACCGGACGGGGTATGGAGACTTCGTCATTTGGCGTTCATACCAGATGGGGTATGGGGATGGCCTGCTTCACCCTCATATTGGACGGGGTATTGAGGTTTAATGTCTTGGTGCTCATACCGAACGGGATATGGAGACAGCCCTAGAATTAAGATTGTTAATGGAAAGGGTTCACATATAACAAGGACACCCCTGTGGATCCCCATGGATACTAGTAGGCTGGTGAAATGAGAAACGATGATGATTAGTTATTGTTTATGAATATGAATTTATGATATGTTCTATGTTACTGATTGTGCATGAAATTATGATCTGTATGATGTTATTGTTTTTATAGGTTGTTTTCGCAGGTTCTCTAAGGGTAAGAAAAAAGAGAAATGGTTTTAATTTTAATGAATGTATTAGTTTAAAATTTGTGCTCCATTGGTTGTTTTCGGTTTTCTACCAACATTTGCTTCTGTGACGGCGATATATTGTGATGTTTTTACTAGGCTAGTGTAGCTCACCCCTTATTTAACAATTTCAAATCAGGAGAACCCGGTTCCCGAACCCAATCCACAAGAAGGCTACGAGTAGATGCTAGATACTTTATAGTTTCTTTTATTTTTCTATTTTTTATATTTCTTTCAGAGAATTTGTTCTGTGATGTTTGTTAGTACTTTTGAGTTATCATGTAAGAGATGTTAACTTTAACCTTTATTTTACTTCCGCATCAAATTATTATCTGCATTTCTTTTTTTTAATTTTCGGGGTCGTTACAAGATTTGGTTGAATAAATAATTGATAAGAATTAAAATTGATTGAATAAGTAATTAATAGAAATTTAATTTGATTGGATAAGTAATTAACGGGCAAATAAATTTAGTCATGATTTATAATAATTAGGAAAAGGTAATTTAAAATATTAAAATGAATCATTTTTAGAAATAATTTTGATTCAATAAATATATAAATAAGTTATTATATTTTATTTTGAATGGAATAGATATTATAACAAAATAATTATGAAGTAATAAGAAAGAAATATTCTGTAAATGATTTTTAGAATTAAATAAATAATAGATAAAATAAACTAAAAAAAATAAGTAAAATTAGTACTTTAAGAATAATCGTAAACTATTTGATCAAAAGAAAATTTAGATTATGAGGAAATTAAAAAAAATATTTATGTGTAAAATTAATTAAATAGACAAAATAAGAAAAATTAAATTAGATGAATGTCTTAGTAATTAAAATAGCCGTAGAAACGAGATGTGTATGCAATAGGATTGCATGAAACTCTCAGGTTCCTCGCTAACCCGAGAATGCTTAGTTGTTGTGCAGGTTTTCTGCTAATTTGGGATGATTTTTAGAGTTTAAATCGGAATCCTTTGTTCTAAAGTTTGTAAGTAAAATTAATAACCAACCTAACACCTTCATATCATCAATTTTTTTATAAAGTATTTTCATTTTAATTTTATGAAATTAAGAGCACGCAAACAGGTAAAGATGATGTGGTTTAAAAATGAAATTTTAGTAATTTTTTACAGTTTTCATACTCATTTATTTGCTGATAGTTGTGAATGCTTGATTGCATTTTTTGCATATCTCTGAATGTGTTAGGAGGATTGAATATATATTATTTAAGTTAGAAGGAAAAAAATATGAAGTAGAATGTCAACTATGGGAAAATTAGGGAGTGAAGTAGGAATTAGGCAAAATAATTGATGAATAAGACATAAAAGAATTACAAAATAAAAATAAAATGCACCAAGTTGATAAAAATAAAATAAAGTAATAATAATACTAACTAATTTAATCCTTAAATCACAAAGAGTTACATAAAACAAATTAATATTAACAAATAAAAATTCAAACAATAAAATAAAATATCAAGATTGATTTAGGAAGAAATATTTAGAGAATAAAGAAAGAATGATTTAGATAGAGAAGATTGACAATGACAAGTAGAATTTCAAAATATGAAAGAAAACAAATAAAATATCAACTCATCATTGTCAATCTTCTTTTTAATTTGGTGATTGGGTTAGGGTAATCGAGAATCGGAGATACTCATGAGGGGTTACGGATGTCTCAATTTGGCCAAAAATTTGTAGGAAATTCTAGTATATAGATTTGAGGGAAAAGTTTGACTTGGGAGGAATCCAATGGATAAAATGAACCTAAGGGAATAATGAGGGATATGATGTGATTTGGGGGAAATTTTGAGGGATAGGTTGAATTTAGGAGAATAATGAAGGATTATTAGGAATATGGATAATGAGGGGTAGAATATGATAAAATGGGAATGTAAAAGTAAATTAGTAATAAGGTAGAAGTAAGGAAAAGGGAAGCTTAGGAGATTTAGAGAGAAAATAAAAGGGGAAACTTGGGAATTTATGAAATTACACTTGTCTTCATAGTTTTCAAATAAAAAGGAAAAAGAAAAGTTCTATATTTATGAATGTTTGTATAATTTATATGCCGCATATGACGAAGAACCACCACGAAGGATATCCCAATAAAAGAAGAAGACGCGTAAGACTCTGAAGTCCATGACGAACTAGGACCAATGGAAAAATAAGTCCAGTTGCTCGTAGGTCCAATCACCCGAAACCGAGCCCGCAAGCTTCAAGGAATTTTTAATCTGCTAATCCAGGATTGGGTAAGCAACATGATCATCGATGAAGCACAAAGGGAGGCCCAAAGTCCAGCGCAAAGATGGAAGACACATGCGATACGCATAAACTGCCTTTGGCACGTGAGTAACGAGCCTAGAGATCCACCCGTGCAGGTGGGTGACTCGCACATGTGAAGCAGCATGGGAGCGTGCGGCTGGAACAGTCTGCACACCACATGTGCACTGGATACATGCAAGACCCGCGTGACATATGCGTGGCCCTGCACATGTGCGCAAACCCAGGGTCGCACACCTTACCCGTGTGCGCGCGATCAGCAGCCTGGGATTCCTATGACCGGCAAGCCCCCACGGACGGCCCAATCAGCCCAAGCACACCAGTCCATGACTCCTGGGAACCTTTCCTCACATGGATCGACTGGCTCGACCCATTTGGGTGACCCAAACCCGGTAGGCCCTTCCCCTTTTTTAATTATTTAACATTGTTTTTTATTTTTTATTTTATTATTTTAAAATTTTAAATAGATTCTGGGACCCACTTTAAAAATTACTGATGTTTTAAATTAAAATTTCACATGCCTAACTTAATTTCCACATGTGTTTTACATGGAATTCACATGGGATAAATATAAAATTATTTTATTATAAATTTATCCCTTAGAATTATTTTAATTAATTTACTTAGGATAGAATAATTATTTTATTATGTGTTTATCCTACATTTAGATAGAATTTTATTTAAGGTATTATTTTGTTAAATTATCTCAAGAGTTTGTACTCATCTAGATTGCCCGGGAAAGACTATAAATAAGCCTTTGCCCCTAGGTTGTAACAACACCAATTACAATCAATTTGAGAAAATTCTTGAAAACTTAGGTTTTTCTTCCTTTTAGCATTTTTGCTAAAATTAGCTTATTCAAGTTCTTTAGAAAGCAAGAGTCTTCAGAAGTCTTGTTGAGCCAAAGAACAGGGATCAACTTATAAGTAAGTCCGTGGTATTTTTTCTTTTCTTGTTTATTTTTTCTAGTCTTTATTTTTGTATTCATTTTAGGATTGTATGTTCATTTTAGGATTATATGTCACGTACTTAAAAATATTCCAAAAACCTAAAATTGGTGTTGAAAATCCTTTCCGGTGAATTTTAGGGTTCCGGCACGGCGGCATCGACGTGCTCCGGTACTGGCTTCATGCCCACGGTGGTGATTCATCTCGCGTCATTTGATATAAGAGCTTAGGCTCCTGGAAACCCAAATCTACATTTATTTCCTTTCAACATTTTATTCATTAACAATTCAAATTAATTTTTGATTTGTTCGTATTGCATCCTGCTTGAATTTATATCTATTTGTTCAATTCGATGTGATCGTGTTATATCTCAAAATAATTATATATATAAAAAACACCCCAGTTGCACCCCATAACGAAATTGGCATGTTGTTTGCATTTTGCATCACAAAAGCATAATAGCTGCTTAACTGGTGACTGGAAATCCTTGAGAAATCAAAGGCAAAGTACATTACCTAACTGGTGTGAGCGATAACTTTTATTTTCATTCCGCACACTATCCATGTTTGATTTTCGAATTGCATTTCTATAATTTTGCATCAATGTTGCATGAAAAAACTTGACGAGTCGTAGAGCGTAGCCAACAAATTGGGGGTAGTACAAATAGATACACCTTTGAGTTATATACATCGGGATTGATTGGATCCCTACGCATTAGTCCGTCTTGTCAATCTTTGTGATATACGTTTCTTTCTTTTATTTTACATTTGTTTCCTTACAAATTAAGTGACTAATCAATACTAGTTGCTTAACACATAAGAAGCACATTATTTCTTCCTCTGTGTGCTTAATTTTAAGCTTCAGTATAAATCATAATCTTCTAGAGTTTCTTGTTGTGTCATAAGGACATACATGCAGACCCAATTCAAGTGATTCTGATTCTGAATGCTCAACTCGACAGACAAACTGTCAATTAAGAAACTGCAAGGTAAACACAAGCAAAGGTAAGGAAGAGTTTTTATCTTCACTAACATCTTCTCGCAGGAAGTTCAACATGTTTTAGCTCGTCAGAAAAACTCCCAACTGGGGCAGTAATCTTGTTTTGCGAAGGGTCCTCAACTTGCACATCAAGGAAGATGACTATGAACAATAGGAGAAAATTTCACACCCACTGCCTGGTCAACGACAAGGTGTGTAGTATGATCGTCGATGGAGGAAACTGCACCAATGTGGCAAGCACCCTACTCGTGGAAAGATTGGGATTAACATGCACCAACCATCCTAACCGGAATGGTTGAATGAGAGCGGTGAAGTAAATCTAACCCAGCAGGTCATGGTACCCTTCTCCATCGGTAAGTACAAAGATGAAGTATGTTATGATGTTATTGCTATGCGGGCCAGCCATATGATACTTGGTTGACCTTGACAATTTGATAGACGAGTCTAACATTGTGGTCCAACCAAACACTATTTTTTGTGGAAGGATAGTCTCACGCATGTTCTTATACCCCTCTCAAGGTGCACGAGGATCAAGTGAAGGTCAAAAGGGCCTTCGAGGAATACTTGGAGAGAAAAAGGGAGAAAAAAAGTCAAGAGTCCCCGAAAAGGAGTAAACCTAGCCTAGTAAAGACCTGAGAGAAAGAGAGAGGGAAAGTGAGTCTTTACACA